ACTCTTTCCATTAGATCCACAGTACACGACTCAATATTTTGCTAAATCTGAAAAGTCGTAGCTTCATTGACTATTCAGAAGATAATATTGAAATATTAATATAAAAGAGATAACGTTTTTCAATAGATTAATATCAAAAGGTGGATAGTACTTTTTGTATATTAATTTAACTGCAAAATAATAAAGAGTTAAACAATATATAATTTTCTATTTCTTTTTATTAACCTAACCTAACTTTAAACATCTTATATATATAACTCTTTCTATATTTATATTACAATACAGCTTAATTACAAGAAACACATTAATGTAACTTTATATTTATAAATAAATATAAACATTAATGTATCTTTTTATAAATAAGAGCAGAAAAAATCTGATTTGTCACAAAAATTTAAAAATTATATAATTTAAATGTAAAAAAGATTGTATTTTGATTCTAGAAAGTGTCTATATGATGTAATTGTGTTAATGAATTCTCTATGTTAAAAATTTAATCCATCTTTTTTTCTTGTGAATTTTGTTATTTAATTTCTGAGAGAAATTATTTTATATGCACAAAAAATGTTCTGCATCCTACTTTATAGTTTCAAAAGTTTGAATTAGCACAATAATAGTTTCTAGTACAATCATATAAATTAATCTCTGAATATAAAAGCAAGATACTGTTACAATCAATTCTAATTATATTTGGCTATGTTCTGTCCCCTTACTTGTAAGCGCTCTCCTTTAAATTTACTTTGAGTTGCATGCATGCACAAATGTTGTGGTGTAGGCGGAAACGCATGGACAGCTAGCAGCTCCGATTTCGGTCAGTATTTAATAATCGACCTGGGCCAAGTCATGAACATCACAGGCGTGGGGACTCAGGGCAGATCGTTGCAGAACGAATACGTTATGGAATATCGTATTGGCTATGGTACTAATGGCCTCGATTACGTGGATTTCAAGGAAGAAGATGGTCACGCCAAGGTAAACTCGTTCTCGCTGTCGTGTTAATTTTTCTAATTCTTGTTTTGCTTCTAACGAGGCATGGTAATTAATATGCGTGAAATTGCTAATAACACAAGCTCGCTTATGCACGCTTATGTAGACAAATATTGTAATAATCTGTATGAGAATTATGTGTATAGAACAATATATGAGTTTTACATATATTTTATAAAACTTTATATATCACGAATAAAAAATATGTAATCAGGTTTGTTACTGGTAAGTATCTTGATGTGCTTTATATAGACTTACACGAGAATGCTTTGCACCAATTATTTTTTCTTTTATCTCATTTCGATATTCATTTTATTATTTTTTCTAACATCACACATAAATGTATACATTTGAATGCAAAGTGAGATATATTGAAAAGAATATCTTACATAATAATTGAGTGCAAAGGTTACTTGGAGATATAGTTCTATAATTAAAACAGATTAACTAGCACAAGAGTTATACACGAAATAAACTAAACTCATGATCCTTTAACTATTCCTATAATCCGTTTGCTCGCTTTGCTTCCACCTTTCTTCTCTTACACATGGACATGGAGCTGGGCTTTA